GAATATGCTGAATTAAAGAATCTGCACACATATTTGGAGACAGTTAAGGGAGAAATGCAAGAGGCCTTAAGGGTGCCTGAAGCCACAGGACCATCTTAAGTCATAAGGATCATCTTTTGTTCCCCAGGTACTTTGAAGGGCAATTACACTCGAATGTAAATTCCATGACATCTGGTACTTTGATGCATTGCCCCGGAAGATAGTATCAGTGCCTCTAGCATGTTCACTCCCTAAGCAATGGTCAAATGGATATTCCTCAACCAGAATGCAATATTTCCATTGGTTTAAAAAGACCTGAAAGAAGCTCCTCTTTGAGATTTCTGAGTTATCTGAGATTGCTGTGGGCCCTTGAATTCCCATTCCCTTTCCTTCCCCAAGGCGCCACCTTGAGCACCTCCAAACACTCCATGACTTAGGTTCCCTTTGAGACTCAAACCACTTGCCAGTCCCAAGATAAAGATTCTGAAATTCAGAATTGCTTTTTAGATGTGACCAGAGGTAAGATCACACTATACCAAAAAGGGAGAGACATCCTTTGAAGCTAAATTGAGCTACGTACATGGTTTCCTGAAGAATGAGGCTGGGCACCATGGCTCACACCTGTAATCCCAGCACTTTGGGAGGCTGAGGTCAGGAGTTCAAGAGCAGCCTGGCCAACATGGTGAAACCCCATCTCTACTAAAAATACAAAAAAAATTAGCTGGGCGTAGTGGTGGGCGATTGTAATCCCAGCTACTCAGGAGCCTAAGGCAGGAGAATCATTTGAACCCGGGAAACGAAGGTTGCAGTGAGCTGAAATTGTGCCACTGCACTCCATCTTGGGTGAAAGAGCAAGACTCTGACTCTGACTCTGACTCAAAATAACAATAATAATAATAAATAAATAAATAAATAAATAAATAAAAATCAGGTAAATTGAGCTGGGTACAATGGTGCATGCCTAGAGTCCCAGCAACTTAATAGGCTGAGGCAGAAGGATCACTTGAGCCCAGGAGTTCAAAGCTGTTGCCCGCTACAATTATACCTGTGAATGGGTAGTGTCCTACAGCCTGGGCAACATAGTGAGACCCTCTTTTCTAAATAAAATAAAATTAAAAACCAGTTGAATAGTTAATTCCAAAAGTGAAGAGGATGTGAAAATGTGAAAATCAAAAGAGGGAGAGGGGGTTTCTGGAATGTTGGCAATGTTTTCTTAACCTTAGTAGTAATTATATGGAGTATACAGTAATGATGATATGGATTCATGTTATACGTATTTATTTAAATCTACGTATATACCTTATAAACTTTCTGCATGTATGTTATGTCTCACAGTTTTAAAATGTTTAATTAATGAACAGTAGAAAATTGATACAATCATCATAAGCATACATGCATCTACAATACAATCTTGAACTATATCAAATAAATTTTAAAAATACATAAGTCAGCAATTGTAGTTGGAAATATTTCTAAGGACTGGAGATCAAACAGACCTGAAAATGTATGGATATGAATGAGGTGAAAAACAATTGTAAAGATATATAGATCCAAAATAGGCATTCTTTTTGAATATAATGTAACACAACAATAGATCACTTTTGGGCCATAAAGGAATCTTCAATAAATTCCAAAGAACCAATCCCATTCAGACAACATTCTCCTACTACAATGCATCCTGGAATTAACTTTTGTAAAAATGATAGCTAAAATAAAATCCCACGTTTGGAAACTAAGTAACGTATTACTAGATCAGACTCTGCTTAAAAAACACTTAGAACTAAGTAAAACACTACATGACAGAAACTGTGTTACACAACTAAAGCAGTACTTAAAGGTAAACTTACAGTTTTAAATTCATAATGATTAAGAAAGATTAAAATCAAATGAGCTGTTACAGGAGATATAACCTCACATCCTTCAGGATAGCTACTGTCAATAACACACACACACACACACACACACACACACACACACAGAGACAGAGAGAATAAGTGTTAGTGTAGATGTGGAGAAATTGAACTCTTATGCATTATTAGTGGGAATGTAAAATGATATAACTGCTATAGAAAATAGTATGACAGTTACGTAAATAATTAAAAATAGAATTACCATATAATCCAGCAGTTTCACTTCTGGGTATATACCCAAAGGAATTGAAAGCAGGACCTCAAACAGAAATTTGTATGTTCATGTTCGTAGCGGCATTGTTCATAATAGCCAAAAGGTCAAAACAACCCAAATGTCTATCGATAGATGATGGCTAAACAAAATATTCCATTTTAATAATATTCCATTATAGTATTCACATACAATCAAATATTACTGATCCTTTTTAAAAAGGAATGAAATTGTGGTACATGATACAACATGGATGAACCTTAAGAACATTGTGCTAAGTGAAATAAATTAGTCACAAAAAGACAAATACTGTATGATTTTCTTTGTGTGAGCTATCTTGGTTAGTTTTATTTATAGAGACAGCAGGCTGGCGGTTGGTTGGGATTATTGGTGGTGGTGGGTGGTGGTTAGTTAATGGGTATAGAGTTTCAGTTTTGAAAGATGAAGAGTTCTGGAGATGGAGAGTGGTGATGGTTGCATAACAGTGTGACTGTACCTACCACCACTGAACTGAACACTTTAAATTGGTTAAAATGCCAAATTTAATGCTCTGTGTATTTTACCACAATTAGAATTTTGTATGGAAAACAAAAACAAATGTTCTGGCTTCCAGATTCCTATAGAATAATGAGTCACCTAAATTTGAATCTCTCCGTACATCCTAAAAACAAACAAAACCATCTATGACTACAACATAATTTACAGGCAGAGAAAATTATAAACCCCATTTTATATAAAATGGTATATACATCCAAAACCAGCAGATCCAGTTACAGAGCCAGGCTCTAGAAGAGAAGCCTAGAAGTCTAGAAGGTGGGCAGATCTCTTGAGGTCAGGAACTCAAAGACCAGCCTGGGCAACATGGTGAGACTCCTATCTCTACAAAAACAAAAGAATAAAATAAAATAAAAAATTTAGCTGGGTGAGGTAGCACATACCTGTGGTCCCAGCTACTCAGGAGGAGGCAGAGGCAGTAGGATTGCTTGAGCCCAGGAGGCGGAGGTTGCAGTGTGCCGAGATGGCACCACTGCAGTCCAGCCTGGGAGACAGAGACAGAGCCTGTCTCAAAAAGAAAGAGAAAATTAACAGTCCATAAGAGAGAATCACAAAATCACAAGATATCACAAGAGTGATAAAATCACAAGAGTGCTCCACTCTCCAAGAAAGGGAGGAACATGCATTTTATTCTACCAACAAGAGAGAGCATTCCAGTGGCTAACACCTGTAATCCAAGCACTTTGGAAGGCCAAGACGAGTGGATCACCTGAGGTCAAGAGTTTGAGACCAGCCTAGCCAAAAGGGTGAAAACTGGCCTCTACTAAAAATGTAAACTTATCTGGTCATGGTGACACATGCCTGTAATCCCAGCTACTGGGGAGGCTGCAGCAGGAGAATTGCTTGAACTGGAGTCGCAGAGGTTGCAATGAGCCGAGATTGCGCCATTGCACTCCGGTCTGGGCAATAAGAGCAAAACTCCATCCCCCCCCAAAAAAAGAAGGTACTTTTCAACTAAAAAAGCTGGTAAGTCACCCAAACTACTGCCTGATTTCCAATTGCTGAAACTGGAAAATAATACATTTCAAAATGCACAGAAAATTGCAGGCATATTATATAGAAAAATTTTAAGTAAAAATCATATATATATTTTTTTAGATGGAGTCTCTCCCTCTCTTGCCCACGATGGAGTCAGTGGTGTGATCTTGGCTCACTGCAACCTCTGCCTCCTGGGTTCAAGTGATTCTTTGGTCTCAGCCTCCTGAGTAGCTGGGACTACAGGCGCCCACCACCCGCCCAGCTAATTTTTGTATCTTTAGTAGAGATAGGGTTTCACCATGTTGGCCAGGCTAGTCTCCAACTCTTGACCTCATGATCTGCCTGCCTCTGCCTCCCAAAGTGTTGGGATTACAGGCGTGAGCCACCTGGTCCAGCAAAAACAAAATTTTTTAAAAAACTAACCATGATGGGCCGGGCGCGGTGGCTCAAGCCTGTAATCCC